ATATATATATATATGTAACATGATTATATCTGACCCTTCTTAATATCCCAGTGATACCATCCAGTGCCTGGAGCAGTGTGTGCACTGCAAATGCCCGACGGTCGTCTTTTGATTTCAGATGTCCTTGAAGCGCAGCAGTCAAGTCCACGCTGATCGACTTCTTTGACATAAGCAAGAATCAAGAGAGTGAAGGAAGGAGAGCAAGCAGGTGCCGGGGGGATCAAGGAAGATGACTGTGTGCGAACTGCGCGACGTGATGACACGCCTCTCACCCTTGCGTTTGATATAGGTATGCAATATGTCGGTAAGCAGAGCATTCCACTCTTGTCAGACCATTGTAAACCATCGTCTAGGAGGAAGCGGCAAGCGAAACAACATCGTCTTTCAGTCGTTCTGCACGCCCCCTGGTCCATTTATGTCGCTCCCCCGCCTTTCACGACTATTTTACGGACTTTCACCTCGAAGATGGAGAGCATCACCCTTCAAAAGGGATCAAGATTCGATCCAGCTTACCCACTGCGACCTGCACCCAGCAAACCTTACTGTGTCGTCGCCCAAGCTGAGGAGGGGGAGAGGGGCTTTGGGTAGCATGGCCGCATTCGGCGAGGGCTGAGTGGACGTTGACCTGGGCTTGGAATAAAGCGGGGAACGGCACGCCAGTAGTGGTCGGAGAAGCCGCACGTTTGGCGGTCGTTGATTGGGGTTGGACGCCGTCCTATTGGGAGCACTGCAAGGCGCTGTGGACCGTCCGCCCTAATCGCGAAGACTGGGCAACAACATAGCTTCCCAAGATAATTGATTGCGCCGCAGTAACCGGGGTGTGGTTACCTCTGTCCTGTGGGATGCTGTGGCCCAAGCTGCCAATCAGGTGATGCTGTGACTTGTTATTCCTCGATCACATCATCCTTGCTCAACCTCAGAAGCAGGCCTTTCTTGTCTGTTACCAGCCGCGGTGATTATTCTGGTTATCTAATTCTTCCTGTGCGGCACACCCGCCTGCTGTGCGCACTTTCTGCTGTCTCGTCGGAATCCTGCCTTTTATTGTTCTCGGGCAAGCTGTTCCGCCATTCCCGGGGAAACATTATCGAGATCAGTCACGATTCTTCATTGCCAAGCTAGTTACTATTATCAATTACATATACCCAAGTTCCAGCTATTTCTACTGTAGGTGCTAAACTAGAGCCTAAAAGATTTGAAAAACTATTAAAATTTTGTGCATTCAACCCTTGGATCATGTTCAATCCGATATCTTAACAACCATCTTGCCTGCCATGTTCCTATCGTGCGTGTCCTCGATAAGCTTCTCGATCTCCTCCATCGCATACACCCGCGTACTGCACTCGAGATCATTGTCCGCAAACAGCTGGACCATTTCGCGCGTGTTCTCCATCGTACCTAAACTGACGCCCACCACTTGAATGTTCCTCCATATCAAGTGCCTGTAATGTACAGGTATGGGGTCGAACGGCTGGCCAACGTCGACGAACAGGCCGTGCTTGCGCGTGATCTCGAGCCCGAAGTCGTACGCGGGGATAGCGTCGGTTGCAACGAGCGTTGCGTCGATAGGCCAAGGGATCTTGGCGAGCGCCCCTTTGTACCCCTCGGTGGAATTGATCGTGATGTCCTAGGCTTTGGATGAGCCGGGATTTTGAGTGATGAGATGAACCCACAGGGGGATGTTTCAACCGTCTCACAAGCTCTAATGGTGCTTCCCTCGCATCAACTGCAACGACCTTGTACCCCAAGCACTTGGCGAACTGCACGCCTAGGTGCCCGAGCGCCTGCGGAAGGGTCAGCTGGCGTTCACACGAGGACAAAGGAACGCACGCCAACGCCAACGATGGCCATCACCTGCCCCGCCTTGAGGCCCGCGCGCTTTACACCCGAGTCTGGCACTATCAGCCGTCTCCTGTGATACGGACGAAGGACGCACAGATGGTTGCGCCGGCGCACATGAGCGGCGCAGCTTTCTCGAAAGGTACGTTGTCGGGGAGAATGAGGGTGCTGCCTGCATGGATGTATGAGTGGTGTGCGGTCATGGAGGGAAGGGCGGACCTGGGTCTGCGAGCATATACTCCGCCATCGCGCCATCCACCGTCGTGCCGTTACTCTTGAGATCTATGCCTGTCAATCTCTTTCCGCTCTCCACGTCGGAGCAAAGACGCACTATCACAATACAGCTGCATTCCCTTCCCGCAGTCCTCGCATGTACCACACCATCCCCTATAATTCAAGCATGCGACCCTCTGCCCCACGTTCCAGTTGTCGGACACGCCTGGGCCGATGGCGGCGATGTAGCCTGCTGCTTCGTGCGATGGGATTTGGGGTAGGGGGTCCCAGGGGATTAGAGCGGCAAAATCGCCCCGGAGGACCATTGTTTCGGTGTGACAGCTGAGGAGGTATAATCATGAGTGAGAGAAGTACTCGCAGAGAAAGGCGTACTATCCAGCGACGGCAATCTTGATCAATATCTCTCCTTTGCCCGGGACAGGCACGGGAATATGCTCATTCAACACGTAGGGCTTGCCAAACTCGACTATCTGGAGGCCACGCATTGTTGACGGGATGGAAGATAGGATGGTGGTCGACATGGTTGGAGGGAGGAGAGGGTAGGTACATGGGAATATTGAAGGGTTATGTATTTGCAGTTGTTCGCTGCATCTCTGTGAGCTCCCTTAGTTCAACAGGCCGTATGAAAGCCGTCATCCCACACGCGGTGATTATTAGAGACTGCACACAACCAGAGGCAGTGTTTAGAGACAAATGTATAAAATAGCAGCCGTAACAATACACTTATTGGAGAAGCCTTCGAACGGTGCTTAGCCGTCCCTCAGGCTCTTGGTTAGAGCAGCGAGGCTTCACCAAACCGTGAAAAGGAACTGCCACACAGTCATCAACTCGTCCCCGAACAACCACTCCTTTTGGCCGATTTGGGAAGAGTTCCCCCCACAATCAAAATCGATTACAACCACCGAACCCTTCTCGTTACACGTATCAGTGCTGCGTTCAGCTGAGTCGCCATGAATTTCTTTCTCGTCATCTTCGCGGATGAGAAAGCACTCGCGTTTGATGTGCATGTGAACAACCCGGGCTAGGTGTGCGGCAGTCAAGGCCTGCAGCGCCTACAGCGCCAAAGACCTGTTTTTTTGGTTGAGTCGCCAAGCCCTTAATGTATTCCATCACAATGATGGCGTACTCGCCCTCTTCCATGTCTCGAAGAAGACCGTTGTTAAAGGCGGGATTGGAAAACTTGCCCCAGCCATAACACCTGGGTATGCACGTGGACCAGATATCGTATGCATTGAGAAATGCGGTGTAAGCGGCCTTCTCGTTGTCGAAGTTCTCTTCTGCCGCAGGTAAAGGGTACTGTAAGACGATCAGCTTACATCTCAACGTTACAGTATGAAACAGTAAGCGCACTACTTTCATAAACACCGCGGCGCCATTCAGCAGTGCTCGATAGCTGCATATACCCGCTTCTCCATCTCCATCATGATCAAAGCCGACGCTAGTCAGATTTTCGACGTTCTCAGAACTCAGCTCCGGGAGCGCAAAGAAATCGGATGACAGGATTGGTTCAGATTCGATGAAACTCTGTGGAAAGAATCCCGGAGGAGGCGCCTGCCCTTCAATCAGCACTATGGGCAGACCCAGATGTCTGAAAGGGTTGGATTTGTAGTCCTCGAAGTCGAATGATAGGCAAGTCACAGTTCGCAGTTCCACTTCGTTCAATATGTTTTATGTTGTCCAGTACCACCTGCGGGGCCACAGAGGATGTGCGTAAGTGGTGAAGTGCATGCATTGTGGCAGGTTGACTCAAGCGATGAGTGTAGATATACTGCCTCCGGAGGATTGTGGGACCAATATTATCTCCGAGGAGGGAGGAACTGTCCCTCAGTCATGTTTCCTTGACCTCGTAGAATGGGCCGAAATATACTCAAACCGTCGCCCGACTTTGGTCTCGATGGCACGGCGCAGATCAAAGCCGCACGTACAACACTGTTTATACATGATCTGTGCTGGGAATGGCGTTGAACGATTTCAGTTGATGTTCAATGACAATAGTGATGTTAGAACGCAGGCGCTAGAGACCCTTCAGAACATGCATGAGTATATTCTGATACTAGATGTGGCCAGTGTCGATAAGGTGATTCAGGACCCACTGCTTGTGTTTGTATGATCGCGTATCGATAGTGTCAGTCCAATACCCAGATGGCACGAACTGGCTAAGCATGGGGGACAGGACGGCCAATTGGGACTGCCGATCAGGATTTCTTCCATTTTGTAGGGAACCGTCACAACTTTGTACTGACTGATCTGTCATCTCGGTTTACAGAAGGCGGAAGTTGTGAGCAGCAAAGGTTATATTGAGTAGCAAATCAAGCTGCGCCCCACATCATTGACAGAACAAGACTTGACATCAGAGTTCATGATGTATCCCCATCTTGCACAGGTCCCATACCAAATTTTCCCCCGCAGTGGAGCCAGCTAGCTTATGAGATCGTCCAGGAAATGTTCATCGTCGTGCTTGCATCCCTCTTGCTCGACACACTCGGTCCCCTCTAGTGCCCATGCTGGGTCCCCGCGAGCGCCTTTCTGGAAATCAGCTCACCAGTACATAAGTGAACATAATAGCGTACCTCTGCGTCCCGATTCACGCCGCTTACTGCCCTTGAATCGCGTTTTCAGATCTGGACCTTGTTAGCATAATACAATGGTAGGAATGGAGAACATACCTCGTACAGCCTCGGCCTTTCTGTTCTCCCTCCACATCTCTTCCATCTCCTCATCCCACGTTATGACGCCTGCTTTCACTTTTCCATTCTTACTCTGTCCTGTAGGGACATGTGCCAACGATTCGTCGATACCTTCTTCCCCCCCTTCCTCAGCGACCTTGCCATCTCCCAGCCGCTGCCGTTCGATGAATGCAGTCAAGTCCACCTCCTCTGATCCCGTATCGGTCAGGAAAAAGGCAATCGGCGACATCAGACATGAGTAGACGAACCGAATATGTGCAGACACACACACCTGCTTCCTCTTTCTCATCTGCTTCCTTCGATTCCTCGTATCGCGCCAAATTACTGCCCAGCTCTCGACTCTCAAAGCGAGCCATGAAAGCCTCTCTTTCCTCCCGCTCCTCGTCTGCCTCTTCTTCTCCCCTGCCAGACGCTGTACCCCTCCAATCTGCTGCTCGGAGGGCGCGACGCCCTCGCGCGCGGAGGGCCTTGCCTCGATTTGTCCCTCGACCACGGCCGCGCCCTCGCCCTAGGTCAGGAGCTGCAGTGTTGGTGTCCGGAAGGAATGACATGAGGATGAGTTATGGAGGCAGAATGGGAAGGGCCACCAATACTGAGGCGGCGTGAGAGTGCGTCCCTCTGATTGCGATATTAGGGGTCCCAGCTGACCTGACCTTTGCAAACCAGTGTCTGCGCAGGCCACCCGTCTTCTGTATGTGCCTCGAACTTTTCACTGGCACAATCGGCACAATCGGCAATCTTCTACCAGAGAAAACCCTCGCTCCCCTCGTAGACGGTGAAGGAGCTACTCGACAAACGGAAGACAGTTTCGCGACAGGTCTACGTTCCGGACCAGTCGCACCCCTGCCGGTTCACGTCTATACCTTGACGCACAGCTATTGTGACAACACGGCCACTTCTAGTCCCATATTCTGGTGTAGCAATGGTTTGGTCCGACAGAATGGTCCCCGTCCTTCGTGACGCTCTGACAAACGAACTCTCTTCGTGCCCAAGACCACAGCCCCTGCCGGCGATCCTTATCTACCTGTCGTGGTCGGCTTCGGAAACAACACCTGCTCTTCACTGCAAAGGAACGAAGCACATAGAAGACAAGAACCGTCAGACGCACGGCACATCAGATTGTTCTTGCCTCGGCGCCTCATGTTATTCACCTGAGGGCCTCCGGGACATGCACAACCCGGATCTGCAAGTAGCAGGCGACGTACGACTCGATTCTCTAGTACATAGTGGCGACTCGGCGACAATCTGTCAGGGTTCCTGCGATGGCTACGAGCTCATATCGTCAAGGTGGGAGACATCTTCTACTGCGAACGCCTATTGCGTGAGGCGAAGATGTTTATCGACTAGGAGGCGGAGACACAAGCTCGCCCGCCTCCGGCAAGATTTCGAAGCTCCGGAAGTTCACAAAATTTTCTTTCGGCATTGTTCCACCTTCCTCAATCTGCTCACTGACTGTGGAGATAAAGAAGTAGTTGCGTATAACCAGGGTATCATAGATCCGTGTTTCGCTATGCCGTGCCCAGCATGATCCCGTCGACCAAAAAATCGGTGACGATCGCCACAAATTACCGGAGGCCGCATCATAAGTGCACACACCGCCTCACCTTTACATTGCCATTCTAAACGGACCGTACGGGCTGCGAGAGACGATCAAATTCAAGACGGCAACATGCGCACAGTACAGCTCGGTATTGATACTTTCGATTACCACCTGCGAACTTCATGGAGGGTGACGCCTAAATGCGGACACATGTCGCACCTGTCCGCGCACCGGCATTGAATCCATATAGCAGCTCTATGACTCTGGGATACAGATACAGTGATGGTTTCCTTGGGCAATCAGACCCTTCGGAGACAGTTTTTTCTCTACCCGAGTTCTTCGATGTGCGGTGGAAGCAGGGAGGGGGCTCCACTGACGGACAAAGAGCTGGTGTCGAGTCCGCTGTGCCGATCGCCCTCAATAGACTACGATGATTCAGCATCCTTGCTATCTAGCTCATGATCCAAATTGTACACTTCCACTGCACGGAACCCTTGTCGGTGCACTACTCCGATGCCAACTCCACCCGCAAGGCTTCGTCCTCCGGGGCCAAACAGCTTCGATACCTCTGTTTGGAAGGACGGTTCTGGGTCGGAAGTGGTGTTCAATATTTGCGCGGTTGATTTGGTGAGGCGGAGGTGAGCAAGTTCGGCCAATGTGGGATCGCCCTTGTTGATGCCGGCACTTGGGTGTTCGGTGACTGTCGGAGATACAAGAGGCGTATGAGAGTCGAGGATAACCCACAAACCGACGAGGATGGTGGCGAGGATGAAGACGGCCAGCAGGACGATTATGACGCAGACAGGTGCGACTGGATACTGTCCAAAGAGTCGAGCTTTTATCAGTTCCTCGTCGTAGCTATCGTCCGGAATGAGAAAGCCGGCTGCGAAACTCATTGCCTGACGTCCAAGCTCCGCAGCAAGGAGGACCATAAGGTTCAGACTATCGTTCTGCGTCAGCGCGACGGACTGGAGATAGCTGGCGAGATGCTGTGCCGGGAGTTGATAGAGGAGGGGCGCGCCAAGGACTGAGACGAATAGGGTGTCGCTTAGCTCCTTGTCGGTGACGTTGTACAGCCCGTCAGATGAGCGAAGCGTGATGTTATACCATGTGAGATTGCAGTCGGCGAACACTGCTAGGGCTGAAGAGGAGAAAACGACTCCGTCGGGATGATCCAATGCTTCTGGTTCGGGCCATTCTGTGATTGCGTCACAGGAGGGCTGGTCGTTGGGGCCAAACCCTATCCAGGCCAGCTGCAAGAGAAATTGGGCCGGGTTCGTATAGTCTTCTGGGGTAAATGACGTTGCTTGGGTGTCTCCGACGCCCAAGACGTTGTCCGCAAGGCCGAAGATCCAGCTGTTTTCCGAAGCGGAGGTCGCGGTGGCATCGACTGTCGCATTGAATGGGGAATATGGCAGCTGAGGATAGCCAGCACCACTGCAGTTCAGCGTTTGGTCTCCCCATGGCCCCGGGTTTTTGACGAGGTTGCAGCCTGTCGTGAAGGCCTTGCAGACCGGTTGGACGCCGAAAGTGCGGAGGGAAAAACTGTAGCTAGGGTCGATCACAGCCGGAACAGCAACAGCCATATCATCCTCGTGCGCCAAAGTCTGCACTATTGGCAGCCTTGCAGTTGGGAGAAGCGCGGAGGAATTGGCTGAGATGAGAAAGCCGTACTGTGCCAGACTAAGGTTTGTGAATATCGGCTTACCCCAGATGCCGGGAGTACATTGGCAAGGCAGTTGTGTTGTGCCCTCGCCGAGGAATGCTCCGCTGATAGGTCCGCCAGGACAGAGCGTATCGTTGAATTGTAGGCCGTACGGAAGATGAATGGTGACTGGGATGGAGGTGTTGATAAGCATCGATCTGCTGCTTGTGTGGAGCCACAGATCACATAGGCTGATAGGTGTCAGACGATGACGGGCCGTTCGCTGAATAGCAAATGACTCACGCGACGGCATGGGAGATAGAAAACACGTAGAAAGAGAAAAGGGCAGCCACAACAAGAAGGCGAGGTCGTCCTCGGATGAACAGCTGGCGACTGACAGTGCCAAACGTGATCAGGTTTGGTGACGAGAGGAGCGACACAAGCAAGCCATATCTTGACATCGTCAGTCAGCGCACCGTGGAGGGAAAGTGATGTACATGCTCGTATGGGTTAGGAAGGACCCGCCGACGCGCCCTGCGGTCGCAATAGTGGTGTCGCTGTATGTCTCGCGTCCAGAGGACGGCGATGCGGTAGGCGAACAACGAAAGAACCCAAGGAGAAACGAGAGAGATGGCTTGACTCTGTCGGAAGGTCATATCGGCGCAACTTTAGCTGATTGGCAAACATTGCTCACCAGAATGGAAGAGATCGTCAACCCGGTCATGTTCGACTCCTGTCCATCATCTCCTTCATTCAGGAGAAACACGCCATGCTGCCAAACTTGCTCCACGGTGGTCGTTGAGCGGGTAAAGAACCACAGAGCGAACACGAGGAGCAGCGCTATAGCTAGCAGGACAGGAAGGAAGGCCAGTGTGGCGATAGTCCTGATCCTGACACCTCGTGCAGAGTGAGCCTCTCGGCCTTCTTCTGCAGATGGATCGTGTCTGAATGAAGGCGACGTGGGAGTAACCCCTGTCAGACGGAGACGTTCTGATCCGTCCTCCTTCTCCATCTCAGTTCCTCTTCAGGGGATGCGGATGTCTGCGGTATGGGACAGGCAAGTAGCTTGAGTGGAGAAGAGTTGTAGATTGATCCGTACCGAGAAGAGACGTCACGAGCGGGAACGACCGCGAGCCTTGGCTGTCCTTTATACAAGTCCTCCAACCGAGGCAAACGGGTTGCCGTGCTTCCACTCCCGGGTTTACAGGATCGATTGGCAGTCCATCAGTTGGAACGACCCCAAGGGGGCGTGTAAGATTTCAAGGTTGCTGATTCTTATAAATAGCATGATTGTGACGTGCCAGCGATGCGTAGCGCATCAGTTGTTCGCAGCGATCTGCTCGTCTATCTCGAACGACCCAGCCAGCGCCTAGGACAGCCCATCATCCACTGATGTTGACGCAAAGCCTGTGATTGCCAATATCACCTGACGTGTTAAGTAGCAGGGTGAGTGGGCCATGTCGTGGGGCTTGGCAGGAGGCCATCATGATCTTCGTCCGCTCCGTGCAGAGGTAGGGAAGAACCCAGATTGGCGCCCGCTAGCTCTTCTTACGTCACCCAGGAATAGTTGCGGATATTGGCACTGTGCTGTCTGCTGTGCTGTGATGCTGCAACTGAAGACGCCCGCTGACGAAGGTACGTTTAGCGCAAACCCGTACATTCCCTGATAATGTCCTGAGCCTCCATTCGTTCTTCGGAGCTTGGTTTCCGCGGCTCCCATTGGAAGCCCAATCCCACCGGCCTGGACGTGGGAACCGCTCGGCTCCGTCGTTGGCTTCACCTTCGAGCACGTGCACGTTGAACGCAGTCTCAGGCTGGTCCGATTGGCCCATCCCGACCATCCCGACCATCCCGCACCGCACCGTCTGCTGTCAGGCGTGATCCAGCTCCCATGGCGCCTTTCTGGGCAGCTCGACCACAGGATCGGCGACAATCGGAGCGAGAGTCGATGTTCCATTCCGACGAAGAGTGACGATGCTGGTATCCTCCACCACTACGGTATGACCCTCTTCCTTCATCCTTCCATTCTTCTCCTTCTCCGTCTCGCTCCGTGCGGTCGTCTGGTTATATTAGATACTGGGGCCGCTGGGATCAGGAGGGGTGGGGACGTGTCATGAGTGTGTTAGAGTTCGCAGAGGGTGAGGAGGGGTGGACAACAGCTTGTCGATCCTGCCTGTATTGTTGAAAAATCTGGAGAGATGACCAAACAAGAGCGATGCATGGACCCTAACAAATGCGGGGCTAATTGAGGGGCTGGGAGGAATATTGCCGCGCTGAGCCTCGCGTGGCCGCGTCAGGGTCCCAATTGGGCAGATGTCGAGTGTTGATATCAATAAGCCGCTGATTATTTGAGTAGAAAGTAATAATATAGTGCAATGTTCCAATGCAGACAGGGACTCCAGATGTGTGGGCAAATTGTTGATTATTATATTGGAAAGTAACAAGTTATTTTGATGTCATTACAAAAAGGGCAAGGACCCCGCACCGATGGGTGCCGCGCTGTTCAGGAGTTCACTGTGCAGAGATCCCATTCTAAGTGGGTGAAACGCCGCGCAACTAGATCACGTGAGCCGCGCCCGCGGATTGCTTGATTTGGTGAAGTTTTCAAGATTTTAAAGAAACAACAACAACAAAAACAAACAAACAGGGGATGCCAATGTTATTGTTCTGTTTACCAAACTACTTTCCAAGCAATATTGAATAGTGAGTGAGAATTGTGTGTTGACCGGCCGGGTATAGAGTAGCCCGTCCTGCGCGGCAGACGCGGCAAAATATCCCTACCCACATACGGGTAACCCCTCAACTGCGCTACCCACTCACCTCTCGACAACAACAACACATTTCTGTACTTACATCCTTACAATCCAACACATCCACTACATCCAAGCATGTGTGATTTCAGTCCGTCTATCTCTATCTCTTACCATCCGACTCACTAACCAAACCCGGGAACCAGTACCCCTCATCTGTGTCTGTGCGTTTCATCTCCAT